TAGTAGTAGTAGTAGTAGTAGTTCGGCAGGCATCTTCTGGATTTCTGTACGTTTTAATCGTCACCACTGCTATAGTGCTCCGCACATCCCATATATGTCTGCTGCTGCAAGGACCGTAAATGAAAGGCTTGCGGAATTAGTCAGAGTTTCCCATTGCAGTCCTCATGTACAGCTATATTGGATATACGCCCTCAAAACCATAGTCTATCCCCTAAAAACGCAGATGTTTGCAGCAGGTGGAGCAGAAGAGCCGCCAGCGGCCAGCGTTTCGGGGCCTGTCAGTGACAGCAGCAGTGGACTCACGGTCCCCGACTCGGCGGATCTCGAGAGCGCTGGGCTTATCACGGAGGGAGGTAGCTCGGGCTTGGTCCTGGGCGCCTCGCCTAAGATGCCCCAAGTGCCCACCGTCTTGCCCGCGGAGCTCCCCGATGTCCCCACCATGGCTCCCATCGAGCTTCCCGAAATCAGCTCGCCACCTCCCACGAAGCCCATCGCGGGCGTCAATGGGACCCAGTGTTCCGCATATCCCGCCTGCATTGCCTCGGGGATCAAGGAGGGAGAGTGCTGTCCGACGAAAGCCAATGTGCCTCTGGGATGCTGTTCTGGCATTATGCCACCGCCAGCAGTGAAGGAGGAGGGTGGCGCAAACCCGTTCGCCAAAGCAACCTCCGCGTGCTCGCTCTACCCCAAGTGCATGCAGCTTGGCTTGACAGGTTCCTGCTGCCCTGCACCAAACGGCGCCAAGCTCGGATGCTGCGACGATTAGGTCTTCCGTTCGAAGAGACGGAAGACGCAGAAGTCGGAGGGTCGTCTGCAATGACAGTACGGCCGAGCGCTTTTGATGGTTGATGCACAGACTCACTTCCGTGTCTTTTCAGCTGCTTCTTTGCTCTTGCAACCATGAGCAACATCTTCGAGCTGGCAACAAGAAAGAGTGTCAGAGCTCCATCCTCCCCCAAGTGCAGATGAGTGGGATTGGGTCGGCCGGCTGAGCCACGAATACCACGAATAGCGTAGAAGTTGCACACCTCGCTCGTGACTCTTCTGGGTAGAAGTCGGCCCGTTCACAGTGGTCGAGCTGTACGATTCCATCCTAGTTCCATCATCATCCACCAGGGCTGTAGGAGCCAAGCCCATGTGCACCCTCACGTAGTTGAACACCCCGCTTCATTACGAATGTCACACTCATGACTCAGGTGCCGCTGACATTGAGCTACTATCGAAACTCCTCCAAGACGGCGCGGCTTTCTCGGGTCGGTGTTGGGGCGTAGCGCCGAGGGTTTAGGCGTGGTTCGCAGGTGTGTGCACCATATGTAGGTATGTATGAGCCTCTGTGTTTGTACATGTTCGCATTGTTCTGATGAGCTAACCTCTAAGACTTGCCGGATTCATGGAAACTTCTCCAAGCGGCGTCTAAATTTTCTGTTTTGATAGGACTCAGGCTGAGGTATTCGCGGATTTGACTTGGCGAACCAGCTTGATAAGGGTGTAGATCCAGATGTGGCTCGGATTGTGAACCAGAGCCTGTGTGAAGGGTGGAGCAAAAATCCTTTCTGTGGCGGTTGGTTTGAGGGGCCAACCCTTCACGGCCCTAAATCCTAGACGGTCCTAAACCGTTTGCGCGATGACGTGATAACGCTCATGCCCCCCCCCCAAAAAAAAAAAAACATGCTTTGAAGCCCGAAAATCGAGACAAGGATTTTTCCGATTTGTTCCGAGACCTAAACGAGGAATGACCTCCCTACTAATGAGGTCTTGCCCTAAGCCCTTTAGAGCCTTACGTCCTAACAGCCTGAAACCTGGGCACCCATCCGCAAGCAAAGCCCTAAAGCATTTCAAGAATTTGAAGCCTACACTTAACCCGTAGCAAAATCTAAGCCTAAGCTTTGCGTGTTGATTAGCATGCGGTGTTCGACCCAAAACAGACTTGAGCTCTCGAAGCCATGAGTATCTTTGATTGTTGCAGGACCCTATAACCCTTAACCCTGCTCAACCCTGAACCCTGCAAGACAGGACCCTACTTGGAGGTTCATGGGTAGTTATAAGTGGGGGGTATAAGTACGGTAACTAAAGTTATAACCCATATTAGGGGATTTATGACCCTACTTATTCCTACCCATGAACCTGCAAGTAGCCAGAAAGTTTCCCAGAAGGCCTCGCAAGTCTTGCATGGCGAGTACATTCAGCATGTCTGCAAGGCAGGTGACGGGTTTCGGGCTTAGGGTTTAGGGGTTGATGGTTTAGGGTTTAGGGGTTTAGGGGTTTAGGGATTCAGGGGTTTAGGGTATAGGGTTTAGGGGTTTAGGGTTTAGGGGTTTAGGGTTTAGGGGTTTAGGGCCTATAGGGTCGAGGGTTTAGGAGATGACTCCTGCAAGAGGGGGGGGAGTAGGGTTTGAGCTTTTAGCGTTTTAGGGTTTAGGGTTTTGGGGTTTCGGGTTGAGGGCGTTGAGGGCTTCGCCCTAAACCCTACATCCTTAAAGGGTAGCTGGTTTTGGGTTCACGGCTTCGGGTCAGTAGGAGGGTCCAGGGGTACGGGAGTTTGGGTTCTGTGTGAATAGGGGGAAGCAATTTGAGGGCTTAGGACAAAAAGTGGGGGCTATTTGTTGCAGGGCGGGGATTCAGGGGCTTTGGGGTGCTGGGCTTGTCAAGGGCTAGAACTTCTAGTGGTTTTGAAGGTTTTGTTCTTGAGGGCTTGAGGGTTATGCCTTTGGTAGTGGCGTGCGGCATGTGCATAATGGTGTTGTCCGCCTTGCCCACACGAACCCGGATAGGCTGTGAATTTCATACTTCTGGTCTAGTACAGAAATAGTCCATGACAAATTCGGCTGCAGATGGAGATCTGCACGTGCCGGACCTGACTGAGTCCGATTTTCCAAACTCCACACTAGCCGTAACCCTCAAACTTAAGCCATTAGACCCAGAACTTTGCGGGACAGTCTAAGGGCCCCTTATATTAAGCACCCCGATATACTTCTGAGTGCTTCAAGAGACCAATAGGACTCCGAAGTCACGATTAGTAGACGGGGCCAAGTTTCAGGTTTGAAGGGACCAGTATCTATTTTAGGGTTAAGGGTTTAGGGTTTAGGATCTACCAATCCGTCTATTTACCTGCCTATCTATCTAGCTATCGACCTTGTCGTCTACCTAACCATCTACCCACGCAACTGTCAAGGCTTCTAGGGTTTAGTGGGGTGGGGCTTTGGGGTTTTAGGATATAGGGGCCGAGAGATTTAGCGCTTTCGGGCTTGGGCGCTTTAGGGTGACCGGGCTTTATGGCTCTATCTGTAACTCCCTCTCCGTACACATACCTTCATACATACATGCACAGGCAGGAAGCTCATAAGTTAAACGCGACACTGTTGAATGATCGGAGGCTGTAGGGGAAGGCTACAACCCCAAACCCAAAGCCCTGTAAACTTTGCCCCTTGAACCCTATGACCATGTAAACCCTATCCTATGAACCCTAAGGGGCCCTCTAAACCCATAAAACCCTAAACCCCTAACCCCTAA